ACTTGTTTTTACTCACCAGAGGCACCGAAACGTGTGACGTAAAAAAAAATCTTTAAAGGAAAGAGAAGTCGACGCTTATCAAAGCGTAATTAGTTCAACTCGTTGAAAAAAAAAAGAGAAAATACAAAAAAATATCTTTCTTGTATTTGTAAATAAAGAAATTTCTTTATTTTCGTTATTTTATTTTTCTTTTTAAAACATAAATAATAAACTGACAAGAAAGGACTAAAGCCTAGAAAGAAAAAAAATAATTGTGTAAACTTTTTTTTTAATGTGGAGCCGATTCAGTGGCGCCACCCCACGTCCGGAAAGCGTTGAACACTTTGACAACTTGCTTTTTGGGGGGGCGGGGGTCTTTTACATTTGAAACACAAACACGAACATTTAACACAAGTACTTTGTTTACAAAAAATACAAATCGGTAATTTTGGGTGATTTGGTTGGTTTAAGCTCAGTTCACTGAACTGTGTCCGGCCTTGAAATATTCAAGTACGCGATACAGTCTCCAGGCAGAAGGTCCAGGAGAACACCAGTTCCTCCTGTCGTTCACACCACTTCATCTTCTTCGCTGTCTGCTTCTTCTGCAGACGTTTCTCTAGTCTCTCCAGGTAGTAGGCATTTCAGAAGGGCCGTTCGAACATGTTTTTCATCTGTAAACGACGTGGTTAATTACAGATCGTCTGTGCTAAATATGCCCAACAAGTCCTCCAAAAATATACTGTACCTTCATTTTTACACTTAGGGAGCAGACGATGTAACTGTTGTGTGTTGTACCGGATCAGAAACTTCTGGCACGTTCTAATTGTTCCTAGAAAAGATTTTGTTAATACACGCGTTCAGTGAGCCGTTGTTAAAGTTGATACAGTTGTTGATATTTTCTTACCTCCTACATGCAAACAGTTTAGAAAACATGGGATTTTCTGCCCACGGGTTTCCATACACGTTATGAAAGGCAGTGCGGACCACAGGAGTTTGTAACAACGTTTGGGAAAACGGAGAAATACCATCCCGGTGTGTGCATTCATGTATTTCACTGGGGAAAAAAACAAGGGAAAATAACCACGTGGTAAGTTGTTGATTTACGGAGAAATGAGGAAATAAGTACAGTAGTCTCTCGCTATTTCGCGGATTCACGACATCGCGTTTTTTTTAAACTGCAAATATAAAATTTGGATCTGCGAGAGATGTCACAGGAATGGGACGACGATACGGTTCGATCGGTCCAATTTTAGCAACAAAATCGACGACGTCGTGACTGCCTATGAGCTACTCTTCGACTGGAAAAAGAAGCAGCAGAAGCAACTGCCGATGACGATATATTTGCAGCCTCGCAAAAAAAAGCCGGTTCCTGCTACTACTACGGATAAACCTTCGGAAACCGTGGAAGAGGTGCCCCAAGAAATGGCACCACTCCGTGGAGAGACGTGAAGTCAATCAACGGCTGCGCAGTAAAAGTCATCATCATTTTACTGCGCATAAATATCGTGTCAATACTTCGCGGAAATTCACCTATGTACCGCGATAAACGAGGGACCACTGTAGTACAAATCTGCTCGAGCCTCGATTCAGAACACTGTCTGGAGGTTTAATCGTTATCATTTTACATTTCACAGTAAAGTACATGTAATGTATACTTTAAATTTTTTTTACACTTCTTTCTCTCTCTCTTACCCGATACACCGATAATACACTGAGCTGCTCCATAGTCGCCGTGAATGCGAGCCACAGCTGTCCGCACTGCCGTCATCACAGCCCGGTCGTCCAGCAGCAACAGACGGCTCTTGTCTGTTACGTTAATTTCACACAGCAAATACCTGTCGACACGGGTGAATCAGTAGGAATACTTCAACTAAATACTTAACACAACTTCACCGACGAAACGTGTGTTTACCTGGACTTTATCCGCACCATCTTTGCTCCAAGTCTTCTTCTTCTTCTGCGTGAACTTCCGTCAACAATGTAAAAATCTGTCAGGAGGGTTCTCGAGCCGCCACCTGCTGGTGACAGTCAAGACACTGCAACGTTTTAATGTATAGTACTTGTTTATTAGACAATTTACACGGGGTTTAGCTAGATAATAAAACAATTTAAGAAATCGTAAGATATACACTGTTCGACTCGCGCATGCGTTTTCCCTGTGATATACTTTAAGCTACTCATTGGCAGGAGAGGTTTATTTTTTAGAAAAGGCAAAATAACGGACTCCAAATTAACCAGCTCGATTAAAACCAAGATGGCCTACAAGGGCTCTGGCATTAACGTAGACCTCTCGTAAGTGTAACGTCAAAGGAAATAGTAGCCTGATTTTCCAGAAACGACGGAAAACATTGCGGTTTTTTTCCCCATCCACTCCATTAGTTTAACCCCAAGACGCCCAGGTGAAGAGCAAACCGGACGAGCGGGACTGTAAACCATTCACACCCGTCTGTAACTATGACAACCGT